CTTCAAAGTCTTATTGTTTCTGCCTAATGGCCCATCAAGGCTGATGGCTGTTGTTTGGTGGGTGTTTCCCAAATACACATGCAGTTGTAATTATTACATAGTCAGTATTCCTAACTTTAGATACAGAAATGTACATGCATACGGACTGGATAATCACATCCAGTAAATTATAACCTTTCCGATGATACCTTATAAGACCCATCTTGCATAAAATATATCTCAGTTATGCCATATCCATATCATAAGCATATTTCCATAAAGAATATTGGGTGGTAATGTCACAACAGGCTACAGAACTTCGCCCAATAATTTCTGCATTGAGCCCATAACTTCTATTGAGTTACAGCATATGTTTTAAAAAGACACCCAGTCTTGATTTAAAACCTTCAAGTGATGGAGAATTCACCATGTCCCTAGTTAAGGTGTGCCAATGGCTAATTACCCTCATTGTTGAATTTACGGCTTATTTCAAGTATGAATTTGTCTAGCTTCAGCTTCAAACCATTTGACCTCATTATCCTTTTTTCTGCTAAAAACACTCCATAGGAGGATAATTCCTGACTTGAGTACAAGGCTGTTTTTTTTCTTTATCAGAGTATCGTTCACGGCTAAGTCAAATACCTTACAGAAGTCTAAATATATTATGTCAACACAATTATCTTTATCAAAGAAACTTGTAATCTATTCAAAAAACATCAAGTTTGTTTAACAAAGATCCGTTTTCCGTAAAATCATGTTGATTGGCATTCATTATGCTACCATGTTTTTAATTCTTTACTGACTGAGTCCCATGTAAGCCTTTCCATGATTTTGCCTGAATCTAGGTCAAGCTAACCAGCTTCATAACAAATTAAATGAGGTCACGATTGCTGGCTGTTTTGTTGTCGCTTGTGACTATTTAATGTTTATGCACTTTGCAAAACCACTATATGAAATGGGGCAACTCAACACGAATGTTGATCATTTTGAGAGAGAAGGCCATGCAGGGAAAGATAATCAGGAATGAGATGAAATGCTGAGAGAGCTGTGTGTGAAATTTGCACAGTGCTTGCTTGAGGCCAGCATTCAGTCCAGTCACTGTCCTGAGCACTGAAATTAATGCGGCGACATTTCAACAATATTGAATAAATCTTGAGACGGATGGCTTGATTCTGCAGTCTTTACACAAGTTCCTGGATCAGGGCCCAGAAGAGGAATGCAAAATGGTATGTGTAAGTCTCCTCTTGATTCTGCAGTGAAGCCAACAGGTGACATTAACATGATCCTTTTTAATCCCATCATCTGTTTTTCTTCTTCGATATTTTTTGCAGAAGATTAGCAAGCGTGATCAAGTGCTTTGCTGCTGGTGAAATGACTAGCTTTCTTCTCCGATTAGGGGTTTCACGAATACAGTTTGCATGCTACATATAATGAATATTTAAACAATCTATCAACTATCTTTCCAGCAACGGGCCAAGTTCTGATCCCAATTATGCTAGTATAAACTGGGAGTAACTTCATTTTGCCAGTGTGATTATTCCTGATTACACCATTGTAACCCAGAGCAGGATTTAACGTTGTGTTTCTGCTAATTACCAGTAATTCTCTATTTGTCTTCCCTTGCGATTAGGGACATTTCATACAACCATTGAGATACATTCAACCAATCAGACAAAGGAGGTTGCAGGGGGGGAGGGGATGCACTCGCATGCCTATGCACTTTAAATGAATTGATGTGCTCTTAACTCGAACATAAAGTTCTCTGTCTGCAAACTTTAGGTTTACGTTGTGTCTGACTCTTGTGTGCATATGCATGGGAGGAAATCTGTCCTGTGTGTGTGTGTGTGTGTGTGTGTGTGTGTGTGTGTGTGTGTGTGTGTGTGTAGAAG